TGCCCACAAAGTCCGGGCCGCAAGTCAAGCCAGCTATTCGAGGTTGATGGGTGGTCCAACCGCACCATCAACTGGAAAAAACGGCAAAGCGATGCAATATGTTCGAAGCAACGCTAACCGAAAGCCCAAGCAAAGAAAAGTAAAGAATCTTTCGAAAGAATGATAGCGTTTGCATCGGTTGTGGCTTGTAGAGCGTGCAAGCACAGCTGCATCAGCTGAAGTACACATAACTGTGAGGTGCAATCACGTGCACGCTGGCAGCAGAATCAAAAAAGCAAGCCCGATGTGTAGCAGTAATGCATAGAGAAAGAAAGTTATTGGGGGCCCCATAGCCGCAATAAGAACAAGACTTTCGGGCTGGCGTGAAACGTAAGGTGAAGCACCGCACTCTAGATATTGGCTGTCCCGGAGCCGATACTCTTGACTTTCTTGTTACGGGGATCTTGAACTGTTTCTTGTGGCCAATGCCAGTGAGAATGAACAAGCGTGAAACGGGCGGGTGGGTGAGGATTTCAAAGAAGATGCCTAGCCAGCACAACTGAGCCAAAATGTTCGCACGAACATAAAGTAGTAAAACAGATGTGAACAAGTACACTAACCGTTCTACTACTTTAGTTGTGCTGGCTAGGCGTGTATCCCGGAGGGATTAACTCTCGACAGAAAGGACTGCCTTTTCCTGGAGTGCCGTATGCCCACAAAGTCCGGGCCGCAAGTCAAGCCAGCTATATTCGAGGTTGATGGGTGGTCCAACCGCACCAATTTAGAACTACCCAGCAACCTCGCTAAGCCAAAAACCCCGAAACTATGTGAGGTTGGTGGGCACTCCACGGGAACGAATTTGCCACGGAAGCTGCACTGAAGAGGGTGACACACTGATCATTGGCTGCGGCAGCCAGAGATCCTGAATCGAGAGGCAAGGGGTGCTCTTGCGGTCTAGACTCTAGACAGCGCATCGGCTTTATCGTTGGCCTCACCTGGTATGTGCGAGACATCAGGAGTGATTCTATGCACTGCTGCCAGAAGTGAAATCCGCTCCAAGAAAAAGCATAACGGCTGACTTGTTGTCAAGGAGTTGTTAAGGCCTGATTCAGCACCTGTGTTATCTGAAAGAGCCCTGAGAGTAATTGGGACGCAACTGCATGGAAGCAAGGCAGATGCCGCAAGTATCAGCGCTGCCTGTGCGAGAGCTTCATAGCACGAAATCTCCCTTGCCATATCAGCTTGAACCCCAATGCCCAAAGCCAAGAAGTCAGCGTGAGCAAAGGTTTGCTGAAACCAGCGGTGACCTAATGAGGGGCGGCGTACATAGCCACCTATGCAGCAATGAGAACCCCGGGCGCTGGCATCTGCTCGCGCATCGAAAATCGGAGTGGCAGGCTGTCGCATCGAGCGAAATGGTGACATATGCAAAAGCCAATGCTCGTAAATGCCAAGGATGCGCAGCGAGTTCAAGCTCAATTTTCGCTTCTTGCTGTTTTGACTCGACACCCGAAGCCAAACCCTACGATCTGACACACGAACCTTCTCAAGATCCCGAAGAGAGTGCAATTCTTGGTGACGTGCCGAAAGCAGTTTGGAGTTGACCGGTATCCCCGTACCTGGCGGCGTCACAGTGAAATGCAAATCTGGTGACAAGTAGCTTGGAAGTTCATGCCAGCGCTCTGGCGGAATGCTGTAGTTCGTGGCAGCTGGACTGTAGAGGTCGTGATAGAAAGTACGCAGCATGCTCTTCATGACCGGAAAAAGGCTTGTAGCCCAAAGTGCCAGGCCAATAAAGCGTTCCAAATCCTTTTTGGTCAGGCGAGGGTTTTGGCGCAGGTCCTGCACCATGCCCAACAGCTTCAAGCGCTTTGATTCTTTAAGCAACACGATACCTGCAGAATACTGGAAATCCCAGCCAATCCAGGTGACCCGAACTGATATCTGGAGTTTGTGCCATGAAAGGGGCACGCCCATGATCTGCAAAAACATGCAAATCATGGCACTTGTTGCTGGATAATGGACAGCTCCTGGGAAAAGAGATAATCGTCCACAAACAAATGGCCTGTGTGAGCAATGTAGATGAGAATGTGAAGAATGCGAAGGATGCATGAGCCGAGCCGCCCCCACCAATGCTGGGCGAATGTTGCCCCGAACGGGCATGTACGATAGAAGTAGAGGGCATTTGAGCCGTCTGGTTCCTCGCATGTGAACCCCTAGCAATCCTTGTTCTTCCTCTTTGACAACGCAGCGCTTATGGGCTGACTTGATGTCAATCGAGAGCGCACCTTGAATCTTCGAGCTCTCGAGCTGTAGGCATGTGCTGCTTTTCAGGCACAGCACAGTTTGCGTTTGTACCACATACTGAATTGTCAAGGCAAAGCCGCTCCGACCTGCCAGGGGCCCGAACAACCGAAAGTTTGCCTAGCGCAACCCCTAGTGGCCAGCGTCGCTGGGCATCGGCTAGCGAACCGTCAAACTTGAAGCAAAAACCTTGATCAAGTTCCTCCTGAAGCAGCCTGCGAGTAACTGCAGGTTCCACTGTAGCCGAGCGCCAATTCTGCAAGTGAATTGTGAGTGGCACGTCATCTAGGGATTCACGAATGTTGGGCCAAAAGCAATTTGAGGGCGGGATGTCCGCCTGAAATCCCGTCTGAACACCAGCTTTCAAGGCTGGGAACAATGTGGTATCTGGATCCAAACACACCTGAGCAACGGCCTCTAAAGCATTTAAGCAGAGAGGCTGATGTGCCCGCTGCGACCAAGCATTGGCTGGAGCCGGGACGCCCAGCGCTGAGAAGAAGCCCTCCCTAACCGAAGCAACCTCTGAAGCCGAGAAAAGAGGTTCTTTGCTGGGCTCATTGCGGCGCTGAAGAAGGCGGGCTGGGCCGCACATGGATGCGGCAACCTTAAGCAAAAAAGATCGCAGATTACGCAGAAAGTCTGGCGTGCAAGGTGCACTCCAGTCAACATGCGAGTGACGACCTGCCCCATCGTGGACTGCCCGTGGCATCTGATCCATGGGTTTACGCGGAACCAACGTGAGGGCCTCTCGCAAAGACAATGGGGGGCCTGATTTGTCCAAGAGCACGCTTATCTGAGCTGCGAAAGTTTTAGCAAGCGCTTCTGGATACTGTGATGCCATTCTACTTTTAAACAACCCAGAGCTATCAAGACCGCGCATGACAGGATGTGCCTCTCGCCCATGCTCGCAGACACAGCCAATGTTGCGCAAGGGGGCATAGCTGGAAGCGAACAACCATGTTTTCGCCCAAGGGAGGCCAATAGCCACAAGCTGCCACCCAGATAAGAGAGGCTGAGCATTCATGAAGCCAGGACTGTAAGCAAGCTTCTTCCCAGGACATTGCACCTGCAGGTTGTTCAACATGACCATGGCCTCCTGCTGAATAAACTATGGACACACATTTGCAGCAGCGAGACAAGATTTCTTTGCTCTCCTGAAGTTTAGCGAGATCCGAAGGACCCAAGCCAGGTACGCCATCCAAGTGTTCTGGGGTGCGAATGGGAAATGGTGGGCCACCTGAAAGCTTCAAGCGCGAGTATAATGCGAGCAACAAGGGGCTGCGGCGCAGTAGCCGACTGCGCCTGAACCACAAATGAACAAGAGCTGCTCAAAGAAGTCATCCCGAAGCAAATCCAATGAGGGATCCAACAGAATGTCAATTGAGAGCGTAGCGAGGCCAGATGCTTCCACAGCACTTGAAAGTGGTTTGGCCACACCAGAGCAAATGTCCAGGAAAAAACGCTGAGGGGTGTTCGCTAGAGCATCGAGTGCGGCCGAAGAACGACTCGGGGCAGGGGAAGGCAGGGGCGGTTTCAGGGAATGGTGTCTAAACCCAAAAGCCGAAGGTTGACCCCAATTTACGCCTGACCCGGAAGGATCTTGTGACGGCTCGGCTCGCTGCAGCTTCGGAGGGCCCGAAGGTGGCACCTGAGGCGGAGAAGGTGACGGGAAAATCAAGCGTGGCCAGCAGGACATTATCGCAATTTGACATAGAGGAGGCAGTCAAGACCCATCGCTCTCCGGAAAAGGGTTCGGTCATATGCCAGGCATGTGCAGGAAACTTGATGGGGTTTTCTTTCGTGCAGAGGAGCCTACCCCTAATCGAAGTATTTAGCAATGGTATGAAGCGCATATGATCGCCTGATGCATCCTCAAGCCAAAGCAAGCCGCCGGTGAAGGAACCCAGGCTAACCGAAAGATTGGAAGACCCCGGCACATTAGCCGTATTCCTGTGCGCCGAAGTGACTATGTTCTTAGCCACGCACAGCGCATTCCAGGATTCATCTGGAAACTGTAGGCGAAGGACATTATTAAGGCTTTGCAGACAGCTGGCAACTCGCGAGACACCCGAGTGAGTTCCGAGCGATTGCTGACTTGGCAACCGAAGTTCCAATAGCCTGATGATGCTGAGTTCGCCGAAATGACCTGGCGAGATTGCGAGCCTGGCGGTGGCCAAGAAGATGACTGCAGAAGCGAGAGGCATGAAGCGTAGTCATGAACATGTACTTTAGAGGCTGAAGCAACCGAAGTTGCTGGGACGTGAACTGCATTGTTGTGCGTGCCCAAAAGCGTGGATGCACCTTGACGCAAGCCCGCTTGATGCGGGGAACTGGGAGCAACTTGCCCCGAAGCAGCGCCCAACATGGGGACCATGCCAGGAGAAGACCCCCTGTTTGAAGCGTCTCCGAGCACCGGGAGCTGAGAAGCATGATGATGAAAGCGAAGCTGAATGCGGTGTTGCCAAAATGGCTGGTGATACCGGGCCCCTGCATGGGAAAGCAAAAGCAGGCTGAGGGCTTGCAGGAAGCGATTTCTGTTGTGGAGGGAGAATCCCCCCGTACTGCTGCACGACCTCGCCTGAGGGTTGGAAAACACTAGAAGCAAGCGGATTCTCACCTACCACTTGTGATGAACGCAATTTCGGCTGGACTGAGTCAGCTGATCCTACAGAGCCAGCCGACTCGGAAGCCTGTGAAACAAGCGCCGGGTTCCTTTGTCAGTGTGCAGTAGAGGCATGGTTGAGGGCATTATGGCTCTTGCTCATGCAGGCTGAACCATCACTCCTCGGAAAAGCACAGTTGTGCAAGAATGCACAACTCGCACCCCTGCTGCATTTCCCTGATTGCCACTGCATGCACAATTGCTTAGACTCGCCGTTGACCTGAACGTGCTTCACCCACGACCCTGCACTACCTTGGCCGGAGGGCTTGCCTTTGAAACCTTTATCCTTCCCTGGGCCCTTGCCTTTGCCATCAGAGCCTTGGCCTTTCCAATGCTCTGACATGAAACGACCTAGCCCTTTGCCTTTGAAGCCTTTGTCCATGAAGCGCGGGGAGGGAGGAGGCCTAGCACGGGCTTGAAGAAGATTGGACATGTCGCCTCTAACTTCGGTGTATTCAAAGATGGCATCGTTCAAGTTCCAATCCTTCTCAAGAACGAGAGCGTAGATCCCCTGCCAGAGCTTGCAATCAGCTTGTTGGGCCTCCAGAATTGTTGGGGGCCTGAGACCTGATGAAGCTTCATAGCGCTGCGATAAGAAGTGCATGAACTTGCTGCTGTAGCTCTTGAGGCGGGCCAGATGACAAGAGCCTACCATGGCCAACGCAACGTCATGGATTGCTAGAATCCGTTGAACAGCACTCACGCCCATGAAGCTGTCGCCCACCTCCAGCGTGGGAGGTTCATCAAGAAGCAAGCTAGAGATGCCGAGAGCTTCCAAGCGTGGTTGTTTGGCTGGCCGGCTCAGCTGAAGCTCAGCTGCTTTTTCCTCTGACATGCGATGCTTCCAAGGGATCCACTTGTAATCTTTCTTACTTTCTTGAAGCAGCTAGAGATACCAAGCGAAGCGAGGGCATTATGGAGGGAGACAAGATCTCACTCGTGTACTACGCAGCCAGAAAGGTTTTCTTGTACTCTGTGAGCGTCGAAGCGGTGGGGGCGTCATCTTCGAGATCCCAGGAGCGGTGCTGTCGCGCCCGCTCCACGCGGGCTCCTTTCCGGAGCAAAGTGTGTACCATGGCTTCATCACCCCTACGTAGCGCATGCGCGAGGGGAGGGCAGCCTCGGCTGTCCAGCTGCTCGAGTTCAGCGTTCTTCGCGACCAGCGCATACGCAACCGGCAATTCCTCAGCAATGCACCAGGAAAGGAGCGGGGCGTCTGCGCCCGACCGCAGTGGTAGTGCTCGTCCGGGCTGAAGACCCACACACAAGAGCCGTGTGATGACCTCCGAATGTCCTCGGAAAAGGGCTGCCAGCGCATCGTCCCAGATGCGACTGGCAAGACAAGGCGCCAGCTGGTGGCACATAAGTGTCACGGCAGCGTCGACCTCGCCGTTACTATATAATGCGAGCCGTCACCTCTGAACCCCATGCTAGGTGTGGTCAGCTCAAGCAAGATCTTCTGTGGGTTGACGATGACCCCAATGCCGCCCAAGTCGCCACGTTGCCTTGACGAAACGAGGCGGAGCATAACGTCCGGGACACCAAGCCATCTGGCGGCCACCTTGCGCACTAAGTTGATCTCCCAAGACACAGGTCGAGGGGCCTGCGATATGACAAGGGTGGGTACCAAGGACTGGGCCTGGTGTTGGTCAACTAGATCCTGACACATGGGCCGAGCCGAGCTACACACTCGATAGACGCCCGGGCACAAAGCAGCGGAGTCATCGGGCCTAGAGTGCCGGCGGGATCGCCGCGAATGAGGCATCCCTCTAACACAAACTGTAGCCAAATCTGCAGAAGGAGACGCATCAGAAGGTCTGGAGTCGTGGCCTGTGGCCTCATCCCAGTAGACAGTGCTTCCGCCTAACCTTAGAGGGAGCGTCGGTGGGCGCTGCGACATTGGGGGTCAAAAGGCGACCAGGGGCGGCACAACGAGCAGAGAGATCAAGCAACGCATAAAAGACATCAGAGAATCACAGAGCACGAAAATACGCCTTAATGCCTTTGCAAACCCTTTTATTCTCCCTATGCCTATGCTCTTGCTGCAAAATCCTCTTGCGATGCGCATGCTGCATGTGCTGCTCAGTGTGGTGCGTCAAGAAAGTGACTCGCGCAGCTCTTTTCGTGAGCGCGGGGGAGTGAGCGAAAAGTGCCAGCAAAGAGGGTACGTATGAGCGATAAGTGTGCCTCAGCTAGGCACTCAGCCCGAACAAGGCAGTCAACGTCAACAAGATGGAAAACGTCGATCCCATCCTGGACCTCACCAACAATTTCACGAAGGCCATTGATGATCCCCAGTTTGACAACCGAAAGGTCAGCTGGCACGCGTTTGGTGTACAGCCCGTCATGCAACCAAACGACCCCCTCAGCTGAACCTGGGAGGAGCGTCTCAATCACTCTGCGCGCAACTAGACTCTCAACTGCCTCTAGAAGGAAGTAAAGCCAATTACGGGAGGTGGTGCGGGTGTCAGGCCGATACCAGTGGACCCGTGAGAGATTGTCACACAGGTACGTCTTAGCAACGTCAATACCCGTGAGAACCTTCTCAGCAGGTCCCGTAAGGAAAAAGAGGCCCCCCTGTTGCAAATGTTTCCGCGTAGCAGTGGAATCACTGTTAATGGTGTAATTGAGGAGACGTTTGGGGGACAGGTAATCCCACCTGGTCGGATCATGTGGGTACCCAGCCTGAAGCACGGCCCGCGCTTCCTGCACAGGCACTAAAGGAGGAGAGAGGCCAAGCGAAGCTGTGAGGACGCGAAGGGCTTCATAGTGGGCACCGACAAGGTCAATCTCCCATGCTGTCGGCCCAAGCGCTGCCAGGCGCATGGGCCTGGTAAGGGTGCCTATGCCTGAAGTAGTGTAATAACGTGTTTGCGGGGAGGAGCGGCGATAGGGAAGGGGCAAGACGGCCCGCGGAACCTCCTGAAGCCACATATCCCTGACTGTCGCTAGCCCTCTGAGGTGCCGGTCACCAAGCGTGGCTACAATCCGACCAACAAGGTTGTAATGGAGGGGCTCAGGTTCCGGAAGGGTAATGACTGGCGCTGCCTCACGGAGTTGAGTGATAGCCGTGTCAAGGTGAAAACCCGTCCACGCCCTGTGCGAGTCACGGTCACAAAATAGATTCTCAAGGTCACCAGCAAGGTGAAGCACGGACGGCATGACCTCAAAGGGGGCGTCGTACAGGCTGACATAGCTGACAGCACAGGGGTCATGGCCTCTCTTCATCAGCGACATCATTAGCGCTACGCGGGATGTGTTCCCACGTAGTGGCGACATGGAGGCGGCCCAAGCGATCCCATGCTTGTTGGAATCGCTAGTTCAAGGCGACGGACCCGTCCATAACCTGCGAAGTATGCGACAATGGCGAGATTGTCTCCTTGAAAGTGAATAGCGCGGATAAGCGCCCCCTTCGCGCGTACCGAAAGGAAGAATGAGAAGGCTGACTCAACTGCTAAGATAGCAGCCTCAGCCTCAGCCTCATACGCATCGGGACAGGGGGTCAACATTTTCGACGCCCCTACATGTGCCCCCGAGCGGGCTTCCTTGCCATAGGGCAGCTCCAGCTCCGCCCACCCGCAAGAAGCGGTCGCACCCACCATCAAACTGCACATAGACGGTATCCTGCGGGAAATCACGACTATAAGCTGTGAGTATTCCGCCTTTTGGGATGTGTGTCCGAGCTACAACATGTGTGTGGAGCTGGCCACACCCGCAGGGCTTGATATCAAGGCGCACATTCGGAGTAAGCCCCTTGTGAGGATGATACAGTTATCCCACCTCCGGGCACTTCGGGTCGAGGATCGCGACAGTCTGCCCTTGTTGGAAAGCTCCAGCAGAGCGAAGCGTGGACTGTCCTCCGCTCGCCTGGTGCCTCGCAGTAGTGAACACGGACGCTGGGTCCAGCTGAAGCCCACGGTAATCGATGCCCGGCCCGGGGGGGCCATAAATCGCCCTAAACCTCGGGGGTGCCTGCCAATACGTGGCAGATGCAAGTCGTACCGCGTGCCCGAGAGGGCTAACCTCAGCGGGCGGTTCTGGATTTTGCCATCCCGGCCGCCACATTGCACCAAGCTCCCGTAGGTACCGTCTAGCTTGGGCGATCAATTCAACAGACGTCGCAGCCCAGTTGGGTCCAGCCCCGGGCAGAGACAGCGGGCCAGGAAGACCAAGCAGTTTCGCCGCCGCCTGCATTACAGGGCAACCGCCTAACCAATGTCGGACCGAGTTGTCTCCACTTTGGCAGAGGACACACGCGGCCTGCAGGTATTCAACGACATCAACAGCTTGCGGCCCGTGCTTTCGGGACACAAGGTCAGCCGGCGGGAGGTCAAGAGGGAGCCAGGTCTCATTAGCGGCAAGAAGGAAGGGCGCTAATGTGGGTGTGGGACAACATTTCCATCTCAACGGAACAGAAGAAAGTCCTAGACGCCGAACGCAGGGGTAGCACAGAGACGCGTCGACGTGCCGGCCTAGTTTGATTAGGAGTTCTTTTGGCACCTGCGCTTGGCAGCCACCGCAAGTCTCCGGTCGGCTGAAGTGCACTCGATAAACGAAGTCGGTGTCGGCCTCCTGAGCAACCAGCCACCGGAGTGCGTAAGCGCGCGAAACTGCGGTAGTGACCGTAGATGGGCAATGGACGAAGTGTGGGAGCCATTCCAACGTGGCAGCACTATAAAGTGTGGCATGGAAGCGCACCAGCAAGTAATCCAGAGCTTCACGTTCCTGCTTTTCTCGCAAGAATCGCTTGTACATTGGCAAGAGCACTTTGGCCGCCTCCTCCGCAGGGGCACGCCTAGCCAGCATTTCGTTGGCCTGACCTCGGATGGATGCAAGGATCGGCGCGAATGTGCCATCTTGCATACTAGAAACAACAAGCTTCAAGAGCCGATGCAAAAGCGGGCGCCTGTGCTGCGTTTGTGCTACCACTCCGCCCAGCGCCATCAAGGTGAGGTTGGGCTCGTAGCGCAAAAGAAATCCAAGGCGGTTAGCAGGTGCATCGAAGAACCACGACCCGGGCTGCGGCAATCTAAATATCCTAAAGACGCCCTCGAGATGCTTGGACTGAAGCCAAGCACGGCTACCCAGGACAAAACGCGCATTGCTAGCAAGGATGCGTTCCTGAGTGACCGGGATTGGTGGGATAACTTGTTGCGTGTAGTGCAGGCAGCTGGAGAGGTATGCCCGACAGCACAATGCTCTTTCGGGGAGGGACTGTCGGAGTGGCGCAAACAAGCGGCGCTTGCGCGTGATGTTAGAGAGGGCCTTGTTCCCTGTCGCATGGAGCTGCTGGATAGGCAGTATCGGTGCGGTTGCTGATTCATCGACAGTAGTCGGGGCTCCGGATAAAGAGAAGCCAAGCACAGTTGCACGGTCGGTGCAGAGCTTGGCCCCCCAAGGCGTGCGATCGAGCTGGCGGATCTGTTGCTCGGAGGGGGAGACCCTGAAGAGAAGAGACGATTTGCATTTGCACTTACACGGCGAGAACAGAAGCGATACAGGTATGACTTCCTGCTCTTCGAGACGGCCTTCAACATACGCATCGATAACGTTCCGAGGTATAAGAGCGGAGCACGTGCCCGCCGTGCAGAAAAACCAGTCAACCGCTGGTGGGGGGGAGGTCTGGTGGGCTACCCTAATGTGGTGGCTCCACGTGAGGAAGCTGGGCATCCCCTCTCCCAAGGCTGTACGCCTTGTCCAAGTGATGTGGTTGGCCTCCTCTTCAGTTAGCTCTCGAATCCCATCAGCAACATTAAGGGAATCCGCAACAAAGCCAATTTCAGTTACAAGTCCGCCAGAGAAGCAGGCATGTTGCAGGACATGAAACCCTGCCACTTTCAAGGCCATGAAGGCGTGCTGCGCTTGCATTATCCAGCCAACATCACTGCCCTCTGTGGAGTTGTCATCCATGTAAGCTCTGAGGAGCCGCACCCGTGGGATACGATGTAAACTGCAAATTAGGGGATCCATCGCAATGCAAAAGAACAGGACGGAGGTTGCCCTGCCCATAGCTAAACCCTGCCTCATGTGTAAAGGGGGGAGGAGAAACCCCTGAATGCGATGGAGCGATCGTCTTCCATACAGTAAGTGAACAGCATACTGCGAGACCCAGTGGGGGGCGGACAGGCGCTGCAGGACATCTAGGAGCCATCCAGGGTTGACGCGCTCAAAGGCTTTGTTTGGCCATGTCAGTGAGCATGACTACAGCGTCAGAGTCCTGAGCCCACAGGGCATCCTGCATAGTGAGGAAATTAGAGGGTGCTTCTTTCATAGCCGAGACAAGAGCCTGCGACTGATGAAGGAGGGGGCAAAACGTGTGCATGAGGCTAGTGAAAACGGCTGAGTCAATTATTCGGGCAGCTGTGTCAGGCATATCAAGGGGGCGAAAATTATCCGCAAAGTGACCTGAGTCCGCCTTGGGGATAAAGGTGAGAGCTTGCGTAGGCGGAGGAGCCCATCCCAAGACAATGTCATACAGATGCTGCTCAAGTGCAATAGTGGACTCAAGCGGCATGCTACGATAGCATTCATACGGGCAGCCATCGGGGCCAGCTGAAGAGTCCCCCGTGCGCAATAAATGTTGCAGGATGTCATCAGAGCTGGGCATGCGGCAGCTAGCCGTGCTATCGGGCTCATACTGCGCCATGACATGCTCCCATTCCGGGCCGG